GCGCAGCAGGGAGCCCGACGCGGGACTCGATCCCAGGACCCCGGGATCATGACCTGAGCCGAAGGCAGACGCTTAACCATCTGAGCCACCCAGGCGCCCTGGGGGTATTTATCTTAAACTGGCCCAGCCGCATTCAGCCTTTAACAAGGTGTTTTAAATTTATCGCTTCTTCTTAACCTTAGTTAGCCTGGGACAGGCATGCATGGAGGAGCAAATTTTGGTGATTTTCTTTATTATGTGCTTAAGCAACTTCACAGGAGAAACAAACTGGAGTGATTTCAATTCCAGTTTTTTTTTCTGTCAGTTTCATTCTGATGATTATCAATTTTGGTACCATTTCATATGATTAAGACCAGTGCAGCTATGCTATGGTTCGACTTTTATTTAACATTATTTTATATTTACAATTCCATTTATTGTCTTAGTCCAAATTTAGATCTTGGGGGGAAATCTGGGATGCAGTGGAATAAATGCTGGGCAGAGAGTAAGAAAACCTAGATGTGAATCTCAGCTTTGCTCTTCACTAGCTCTGTGACCCAGGGCAACTTTCTTCCTTTATGGGCTTTTCATTTGTGTTCTGTAAATTGTGGTTAGTGATTCTTACCTAAAAGGGTAATTGATGGAGCAGTGGAGAGAATGAAATAAAATAATATGAACACACTTGGCATATGGTAGACATGCTTACATTTTCCCCCCTATTTTCTCTCCATTATGTAAGCATGATGTAATTTGCTTGCCCATTCCCCTGATGGGCATTTTGGAATATTTCTGATTTTTTTCTTCTTGAATGAATCAGTAAGTCAAGCAATCTTTCTTTCTCTCTCTATATGTATATATACATACACATACACAGATTTATATATGTGTGTATCTGTATTTATATATGTGTTTCTTGGTTATTTTCCTTAAAAAATCAGTTATGTTATTGGAATACCAATACATGTTGCCTTTTACTGGGTTTATAGATATGAGCCCTACTCTTGTAACAGTCCTGGGAGAGATACTGTTGGACATTGTGGAGATGTGTTTTGAAGAGAAATATTTATAGTGCTCTTTTCTTTACAAACTCCTGGCACCCAAATGGAGGAGCGGAGGTTGAGGATCCCTATGTCTGTTGAAGCTGCAGCTGGTCTCAGCCTTGTGGGAGACAATTGATGGTCAGGCCTGACTCCTCTCAGGTCAGGGGTCATACATACATGGGAACTTCAGTGGGGGTTTACTCCTTTAATAACAGGCACATAAACCATTTTGCTGCAAAGGTTCCTATCAGAGGAACCTTTATCAGAAAACAGCACACTGGATTCCAGGCAGCCTGCTGATAAGCCACGGAGGCAGAAGGATCTAATTTCTCATTAAGACACAGCAATCCTACCCCATATGCATTGGTTGAAACTTCCCTAGAGCAGATTTTAAGGTGGAACTAGAAATGGTAGCGTCGGAATGCCTTCCGTGTAGAGTAGACTCTTCAGAACAATTCTCTGGAATCTCCTTAAGGAAGGGAGAACTGTTAATTGGTGAGATAGCCTGAAAGAGAATGAATGGGAATTCTGGGAAGTCCAACTGTAGATGATTATTGATCTAATAAAATATTGATACTGTAAGTAAATATTGATGAGGTAAGAACACGTAGGCTCCTTAATGTCAAGATTCATGGCTTCTAATTTTAAAAGCAACACATTAATATAAAAAAATAAAAGCAACACATTAATTATTTTGAATTCCCAAGATGTTTTCTCAAAAAACTCACTTTAATAAGCTTCCTTTTGCAGTCAAGAATATGGAGCACTTTATTGGAAGAATGTTTTTGCAGTGGGTAGAACTAAGAGAGCATGCTGGCTTTTGAATTTTACTATATGGTATTATTTATTATTCAAAATGAAAGGAGTTGCATTTTCTGCTTTCTTAAGTTGAAAGAAAAGTTTTTTTGCTTGTTCTCATTTTAATCTTGCCTCTTTAACATTTGATATAGGACACAGTTTTTTCTTTCTTTTTAACTTTTACTATTTTACTAACCTCAGCTTTTTTTGTTTGTTTTTTTCCCCTAGTTTTCCTGGTCCCTATTGAGTAGATTTGGAATGGAATTCATAAGGGTCACTGTTTGGTCTGGCCCCTTAGCCATACCCTGTCAGAACTGGTGTAGAGAAACTGGTATGGGTGGGATTGCTTGCCCATATGAAAGAACCTAAGAGCTCCTCTTGCCCTAGGTCATTTGGTCTGGAGTAGGGCTCCTCAGTCTCCATTTTATTGACATTTTAGGCCATATAAGTTTTTGTTGTGGGTGTCCTTTGCATTGTAGGGTATTTAGCAGCATCCCTGACCTCTACCCACTAGATACCAGTAGCAGCATGCCCCCTTGTTGCTCTCCAATGTGACAACTAAAAATATCTCTAGCTATCTCCTGGGGGGTGGGGGGCAAAATCATTCCCCATTAAGAACCACTGATTTGGAGAATTCTAAAGTGAGTGGATCTGTTTTGGGGCAGACATTCAGTTTTTATTCAGTCTTATTTGTTGGTAGTCTGATCTTCTACTATGAACACAGTGTTCTAAAGCATCTCTAGAATTGATCAGTTCCTGGGACCAGGCTGGTTTGGGAGGCTGTTTGTCTTGGATGGGATTCCCTGAAGAGATACCCTGGGGGCATGAAGAGTAAATGAACTTGAAGATTTTGGTAGGGTCGTGGTTGGAGCAATGAGAGAAAAAGGAGAATGTGAAGGCCTGGTGTGGGGTAGTGGTCTTTCTTGTTCCTTGTGCATACTTCCCGAGCACTATTTGCCACTTTTCCCTAAAATCTACAGCTCCTTTGAAAGTTGACCATACGCTCTCAGACTTTATCATCTGTTTCCCCTCTCTTTTGTAGTTTTCTGCAGACCTCTGTGTCATTCTTCCTCATTCTTCTTTCACTCTTTCTCTCTCCAGCACTACCTCTTTCAATATCCTGGCCTCTCATTTGACACAGGTCATCACAACCTTCTTGAAACATTTTATTTACTTGATTTTAGGAGATCATGCTCTCTTAGTTCTCCTAAAATGTCACAGTCCATAAGAAAGCACCACCAACTAGGTGGCTCAAACAACAGAAATATATTCTCTCACAATCATGATATCAGAAGTCTGAAATTGAGGTGTGGGCAGGGCCATACTCTCTCTGAAGGTTCTAGGAAAGTGTCCTTTCTTGCTGGCCATCCTTGGCATTCCTTGACTTACAGGCATATCACTCCAATCTCTGCCTCATGTGGCATTCTTTCTTCTTGTTTATCTGTGTCTTTGTGGTCAAATTTCCATCTTCTCATAAGGACATCAATCATGTTGGATTTAAAATTGGGTATATGACCTCATCCTAATTTGATACGTCCACAGAGACCCTATTTCCAAATAAAGTCACATTCACAGAAACCAGGGGTTAGGACTTCAGAATTTCT